GACCTCTACAAGGAAAAACTATACACTTCTGAAGAAAGAGATTGAGGAAGACTATAGAAAGTGGAGAGATCTCCCATGCTCATGGATTGGTAGAATCACATAGTAAAAATGTCGATACTCCCAAAGTAATCTACATGTTTAATGCAATTCCCATCAAAATTCCAATGACATTGAAAAATCTACTGAAATTTATATGGAAACACAAGAGGCCACGAATAGCCAAGGCAATACTCAGTCAAAAGAACAATGAGAGGTATCACAATACCTGACTTCAAACTATATTACAAAGCAATAACAATAAAAACAGCATGGTACTGGCACAAAAACAGACATGAAGACCAGTGGAACAGAATAGAGGACCCAGATATGAAGCCACACAACTATAACCAACTTGTCTTTGACAAAGGAGCTAAAAATATACGATGGAGAAATAGCAGCCTCTTCAACAAAAACTGCTGGGAAAACTGGTTAGCAGTCTGCAAAAAACTGAAACTAGATCCATGTATATCACCCTATACCAAGATTAACTCAAAATGGATCAAGGATCTTAATATCAGACCCCAAACTCTAAGTTGATAGGAAAGAGTAGGAAATACTCTGGAGTTAGTAGGTATAGGTAAGAACTTTCTCAACTGAAACCCCAGCAGCACAGCAACTAAGAGATAGCATAGATAAATGGACCTCATAAAACTAAAAAGCTTCTGTTCATCAAAAGAAATGGTCTCTAAACTGAAGAGAACACCCACAGAGTGGGAGAAAATATTTGCCAATATACATCAGACAAAGGACTGATAACCAGAATATATAGGGAACTTAAAAAACTAAATTCTCCCAAAACTAATGAACCAATAAAGAAATGGGCAAGTGAACTAAACAGAACTTTCTCAAAAGAAGAAATTCAAATGGCCAAAAAACACATGAAAAAATGCTCACCATCTCTAGCAATAAAGGAAATGCAAATTAAAACCACACTAAGATTCCACCTCACCCCTGTTAGAATAGCCATCATCAGCAACACCACCAACAACAGGTGTTGCGAGATGGGAAAAAGGAACCCTCTTACACTGTTGGTGGGAATGTAGACTAGTACAACCACTCTGGAAAAAAATTTGGAGGCTACTTAAAAAGCTAGACATCGATCTACCATTTGATCCAGCAATACCACTCTTGGGATATACCCAAAAGACTGTGACACAGGTCACTCCAGAGGCACCTGCACACCCATGTATATTGCAGCACTATTCACAATAGCCAAGTTATGGAAACAGCCAAGATGCCCCACCACCGACGAATGGATTAAGAAAATGTGGTATCTATACACAATGGAATTTTATGCAGCCATGAAGAAGAACGAAATGTTATCATTCGCTGGTAAATGGATGGAATTGGAGAACATCATTCTGAGTGAGGTTAGCCTGCCCAAAAGACCAAAAATCGTATGTTCTCCCTCATATGTGGACATTAGATCAAGGACAAACACAACAATGGGATTGGATTTTGATCACATGATAAAAGCGAGAGCACACACGGGAGGGGTGAGGATAGGTAAGACAACTAAAAAATTAGCTAGCATTTGTTGCCCTTAACGCAGAGAAACTAAAGCAGATACCTTAAAAGCAACTGAGGCCAATAGGAAAAGGGGACCAGGAACTAGAGAAAATGTGAAATCAAAAAGAATTAACCTAGAAGTTAACACACACGCACAGGAAATTAATGTGATCAACTCCCTGTATAGCTATCCCTATTTCAACCAGCAAAAACCCTTGTTCCTTCCTATTATGGCTTATACTCTGTCTACAACAAAATTAGAAATAAGGGCAAAATAGTTTCTGCTGGGTATTGGGGGGGGAGAGGGAGGGGGCGGAGTGGGTGGTAAGGGAGGGGGTGGTGGCAGGGGGGAGAAATGACCCAAGCGTTGTATGCACATATGAATAATAAAATAAAAAAAAGAAGAAATGACTTATTGAGACAATGACTATTGCAAATTTTTGGCAGTTATGATTTTGGTTTTATTTCAAGGCACACAATCATATATACAATGCATTATCATCTAAAAGTACAAGATACAAACAGTATACATATATGACTATTTTCATTCAGAGAAAAGTTTCTTGGGGCAAGCTTGTTTATTGTTTTTTTTTTGGATAGAATTTTCATATTAATGCTGAAACATCCAAACAACTCTGGCTTAGTAAATAAATCTCTCTGCGTGGGCATATAATCTTGTCCTAGATTTTTCCTTGAAATGCTCTCATTTAAACCCAGCTAAATGTATTCCTTTTTTCTTCAGTTATTCACCTTATGCCCCAGTACTGGTTGAAACATCTATAAATTATTGCATCCAAGTTTAAGAACTTTTATTTTGTCAGTAATACATCATCAAATGAAATCAATCATCTCAAGATGTATGTGAAAATTCCTAGGGTGCTCCTGGATTCATAAGTAGTCTGATACCTTATGTGGGGAGAGTTTCTACTTTCCTTCCTGTTAGAATAGTGGGTTTCATCCTCATGGCTGCCTCCTGCATAGCTGTTCATTGCTCTGTACTTTCTGTCATGAGGTCCTGCCTTTGTGGAAGATAGAGCTCATGTGGTGTCATTCTCAAGGTTAGGTGCAGTTCTGATCTTGAGATACAGCAAGTAAGCAGCGCTGTGTGATGGAGAACAGGAATCTCAGCAATGGGAGATACCAGAGAGGTGGTGGGTCTTTGACAAATTGATGCTTTGTCTGGAAGGATGAAAGAATGGCCACATGACCACTGCTTCACAGCAACACACGTACACACACACACTCACACACATGTGCACACATGCTTTTTCTCATACACACATACATACTTTTGACAAAGAAACACATTTGTGTAAATGGTATTTTTCCTACCATATATAATTTACCTTATCATTATTGAAAGCAGTGCCCTCAAATGATATTGGCATCTTTTCTCCTGATCAGTTTGAGGAAATCAGAGTTACCAAGATCAGGCAGCTTGGATCACACCTCATGGTATTAAAGCTACTTCTTGCTCTCCTTGGGCTGCAGACTTACATAGGAAGAGATGGAGGGCAATCGGATAAAGGTTCAGATTCCTGAAATGGCAATTAATGCTTAGAGAGCATGCGCAGTGCTCATTTAGAGAGAGCACACTGCTGTAATTTCATCACATGGTGGTGGGTACCTCTGTTGTATTTTCGTTCTGGGTAAGAATCCAACAAGAAAATCTGGGTTTTGCCTTGTTTTATTTCACTTGTTCCTTGTATAACAGTCAAGATTTTAAACTACTGGGTTAATGTCAATCAATATTTAAGCCATTCTTATTTACACTTTTACAAGAATACGGGGGCACCTAAGAATTTCAGTAACAGTTAAGAAATACTCAAAAGAGCACTTTATTTACCTTAGGGAAAATCCCTGCCATGCTGCCATACATCAGCTGCATGTATGGAGACAAACAGTTATAGAAAATTCTGAGGCCATGTGTAAACCTTCGGTGCAAGACTTTGTTTCCAGAAGGAGAGGGGGTCTGTCTAGAGAGACAGTGTGTGGCAAGAGCTCATAGACGGAGTGAAGGCTACCGTCGTACAAGTCCACACATTAAATTCTCCTATTAAACTGCAAAGGGTGCTGCCCTAATAAAAGACAGACTTAGAGATGGGTGTTATTTCAAAAGTATCCCTCTCTTCTTCCCAGGCAAATTACAGCAAAAGCCATTACCTCTAAAACCAGGAGTTTCGGGATAAAGAAGAGAGAGTTTATACGTCATCTGGAAGTTTTAGCAAAATCATCCTAAATGCAGTGGTCAGGGCATTATCCTCAGCAGGTACACCCTTCTCATCATGCAAGTTATGTCAAGGCACACTGAGTAGCATCATGTCCTCATCCAGCACACATTTAGGAATAATTCTACTACTGATGAAAGCCACAAAATAGTATCTGGGATGCATATAATCAAAACACCTTCCTCTCCAAGAATAGATAGAATCTGGTAATAGCTCCATATTCATATAGAGATGCCACAAACAAACTAGACCCTGCCAAGGCTGTAACTTGGGAGTGTGTTCAAGGTTTGGGGATTTGTTAACACTAGTTATAAGCACTTGTGTTCAGGGAGTCTGGAAGAAATCACGCCATGGTCAGCTCCCAAAGAGTAGCTTACACTGCAACTAAATGTCTTAACATCACCTCTTAACTCCTCAAGAGATGTCATTAGTGTGCCCTTGAGAATTTTTCTGGCTGGAAAGGGAGTCCATTCCTTATTTACACATAGACTATTATTTACAGATGAAGTTATGTACATTTTCAGTGGTATTTAAACCTCTTTATGTTTCTTGATATCAGTGCATGCTTTATCAGAAGATTATTTACCTGACTAGCATGCTAAAAAAAAAATAACCAAGCTAGTAACTGTAGTTTTCAAGATATTGATTATGTTAGAACCCACCTTTCACATGTTTAAATAAGTTCATAAATGTCAAGATGATGTTCTACCAGACGTGAGCATCAGAGGTGTCCTATGTGTACAAGTCTTACTTAGCCTGGAATTCTCTCCTCTCCACATGACCCATGAAATATGTGTCCATCTAGCAGAAAGTGAGCTGGGCATGAGCCCTGGAAATGGCCCTCATTCTTGTTGAGGTTGTTGTTGTCAGTGTTGAACATCTGGATTGGATCTCATTAAGCTCTGAAACCAATGTTTTCTTTTCCTTTTCCTTTTTTCTTAAACAGAGCTTTGAAACCACATTGCATAGGAAGGCCACAGAAGAGGGGGCTGAACTAAACCTAGGGAACTAGAAAAAAAAGCCTATTTCTTTTTTCATCAAAAGGACCAGGAGTCAGCTTGACTTCCCCACCCTAGAGAAGTGATGCTTTTGTTGCTGGGACCTTTTGTCCTCCATCTTTGCAGACTTCATGTTTCTACTGACCTGGGCCGCTAATAAACCTGCATCATACGACTTCAGACCATGAGATTTCTATAAGTTTATTAAAAACTTTATCTTCCCACCTCAAACTGCAGTAGTAATCTGGGTTAAACCTAGATCATTGAACTCTTCTCTTCCGGTAGAACTGTAAGAGGACATCTCCACGACTAGTCATACTGGCTTATTCATCCCATCCACATCCCTCATGTAAGTAGGATCCTGAACTGTGTTTCTCACTCTGCTAGTGCTCTGTCGCTCCATCCTCATCTTAATGGGGAAGCAGAAGTCCCTAAAACACCGCTTAAAGTTTTCATCCAGAAAGGCATAGAGAATGGGGTTCAGGCTGCTGTTGGTGTAGCCCAAGGCGATGCAGAAGTAGTAGCTGGAGAGGGCAGCTGTGCTGTGCGAGGTGCTGCCCAGAGCTTCCACAAGGATGAAAATGTGAATGGGGGTCCAACAGATGATGAAGACTGCCACCACCACCAGCACCAGCCTGGTGATGCGGCGGAGGTTGCGATCTTTCTCTCTCGAGCCGGAGAGGAGGCGGACGCTCTTCAGGCGTAGGATCATCAGGGTGTAGCAGACTATGATGATGAGGACCGGGATCACGAAGGCAAAGACAAAGACACAGATCTTCATGAAGAGGTCCCACCAAGAGTAGTCGTCATCTGGGAACTGCAAGGAGCACTCGATGATATCCACATCTGGATACAAAACCACAAAGACAAACCTACCATTGTTAGTATGTAACTATGTTATTGTAAATGTTAATCTGAATACCTTTGATTGCCAAGGTCCAATTACAGTGACATATTGCTTGGAGTGGACCAGCAAATCAGGAAAGGGTACCATATTGTAATAATCATCCAGTTGTTCATAAAACAGTGAAGCCATAAAGCTGCCTTTCTGTTGGTAATATTCACGAACCTGTGGAATAAATAGATTTCCAGCAAATAGGATTTATCTATCTGTGAAAGCTGGTTTGACATTGATGGCTTTCGGAAGAGCTAAGTCATTAATTTCTAGTATGGGCACTTACTTGTATTTCTGTGCACAAATGGTTCTTCCAGACTTAAGGCTCTGGCAATAGCAGTTGACACCTATCTGTAAATAAATGACTAAATGTTTTAAATCTAGCCATTGTATTTAACAAATACCAACTGTCTGAAAAACATTAATTGCTTATGGGAGTCATAAAACTCAATAATGAAATCTGTCTAAATATGACACAGGCATAGTGATTGAATGGAAACAATCATCTTCATTATAATTAAGGTATTAACTGAAATATGAACAGACTTTGTGAAGGAGATGAGAACAAAAAGAAAGAGAAAGAGAAGAGAAGGAAGAGGAGTAATCAAGAGAACTCTAAACAAACCAGACATGTTTTTCATTTTAACCAACATTTAATCCCTGGCACTAGGGTAGTGCCTGAAGAGACTACATTGTTCAATAAATGAACAAACATATCCCATGTGTATAGGAACACTTGAAAGTATGTACTATTTACAGCAGGGAATGTGGAGGAGTCAGCTTCCAGCCCAAGCAACAGCAGCACAAGGGCTGTGAGCTGAATGCATCCTTCACTCAGGATCAGCTTTCTCTTGTGTGTATAGTAGGAATTGAATAAATTTTTGATGAGTAGGTAAAATAATCAGTAGCAGCTACCATACAAGTCCACTGGAAATAAACATCTAATGATGGAGTTGTAAATATTCTCCAGAAGGGTTAATGAAGCTAAATTTGTACCATTAAGGCAGAGGTAATCATCAAGAAATTCCAGGCCAAGCCTACCATTTTCCTTAAGCATTCTATTTCCTATTTAAAAAAAATGGGCAGTTTCAGGTTCAATTATGCTCCTAATTGTTTCAGTTTAGAAAGTAGTTTTTCCTATCTAGGTGCCTATAATGTGCCTGTTATCCTAGTGACAGCAGAAAATAACAGGAGGACCGCAGTCCAGGCTAACCAGTGCAAAAAGTGAGACACTCTCTCCAAAATCACCAGAGCAAAGGGCTGGGCATGTGGCTCAAGTGGTAGAGCACCTGCATAACAAGCTTGAAGCCCTGAGTTTAAACCTCACTACCACCAAAATTAAAAAAAGAAAAAGAAAGTAGTCTTTTGTCAAGTGTGAAATGATCTGTCTGAATCAAGAAAAGTTGATCTCATGGAAGTTAAGTGGAGAATAGTGGTTACCAGAGGTTGGGAAAAATAGAGGAGTGTGGGGGTGGGAGAGGTTGGTCAGTAAATACAAAGTTACAGCTAGATTACAATAATATATGCAACAGTATAAGGTATTTGTAAAAAACAGCTAGAGGAGAGGATTTTGAATAATCACCACAAAGAAATGGTAAGTGTTTAAGGTAATGGTTATGCCAATCACCCTGATTTGATCATTCCACCAGTATACATGTACTGAAACATCTTCTTGTAGCTCATAAATCTGAACAATTATTATGTATGAATCAAACTTTTTAAGTAGTCATTCTTTCCTTTTAGATTAATGCCAGAGGGTCACAGCTCCCACTGCCACATGTTCCAACATCTCCTGGCTTCCAAAATTACAGAGTTAGATATACCAGCCAAACTAAAGATTGTCTTCTGTGTATTACTTTTTGTTAAGAATGGCTCTGTTTCTCTTTGTAGGTGTAGTTGTTATAATAATTCTTAGCAATTATAATAATAGTAATAAGCAGGCATGAAATCCCAAAATAAATATACAAATACTTGTGAAATATCAGATTCAACATTTTATGTTCATGAAATGGAAGTGTTGCTGTGTACGGGAGCACTTCCTATTGAATATTGATAAACACAGATGTTAATAGATGTAGTAATATCCCGGACCTGGGAAGATCACTCTGGCAGAGGATGACGCTAACATGTATCCTGATCTGTTATCAGAGATTATCTAAAACACTCCTCTTGGTCATCCAAGGGTCTTAACACTCAGCTTGGGGCAATACTCCGAAATGAATGCAGGCTATGAAGACAGTCTTTCCTCATATAAACAAAATATGCTTTTGAAAATTAAAAAGGGAAGTAGGGCCTTTTTATAAGACTACTTCAATTTTCTCCCATTTTTCTCCTTTTTGCTGCACAAATTAATCTTCTTTGACATTGATGGGTCTTTTTGTCCATTGTATCTACACATTCATCTGCAGCAATGTCTTCCTGGAAAAACCACATCTATCTTCATTTTCTCTTTTAAAAACCTTATCAAAACCCATTTCTTCTAGGATATCATTTGCTGACAAAGATTAGAAGGAATATAGTGGTTAAGTCTACAAGTGCAACATGAAATATAAAAATCAGTTCTTCATTTGCCATGGGAAACCATCCATCTTTCACTATTTAGCTCATTCTTCTCACCCTCTATCCAGTGTACAATAGCTTTGCTCCTGATGTGAAGCTGTAATGCACAAGCACCCAAGCCTCAGAAGAATTTCTTGCAATTTATTTCCATTTGTTGTAGGCATGTAGAAGCAAAATCCTGTGTTAGGTTAATCATGTTTTAAAATGCTTGACTGATAGGGTTGTGTATTTCTTAAAACTTGCCAAGTATTATTGCTTATCACTTACTATGGCTATGCCAGAAATTCACCTTATAGTTCCAGAGGAAAAATATCAGATTTCATTATCTGAAATGTATGAAATATACATGTGACCAAACCCATAGAACATAAAACACCAAGACTGACCTCTAATGTAAACCAAGGACTTCAGGTGATAATGATGGGTTGATGTTGGTTCATCGTTTATAACAAATGTACCACTCTGGAGGGGGTGTGGATCATAGTGGAGGCTGTGTATGTGTGAGGACAGGAGATAAATGGGAACTCTCTATACTTTCCATTCAGTTTTGCAATGAACCTAAATCTGCTCTAAACATTGTCTAAAAACAAACAAAACTAAGCTATGCCTGTACCATACAAGATAAGCGATGATTTTAGTACCTATCCTTTTCCTCTGGCTTAGGAAGTCCTGCTGCTCAAATTCACCTATCAGTACTCACAGATGTCACAAGCCTCCCTAAAAAGGGGAAGCATTTTGACACAGGCTGGAGCATTAAATAGCACTTATGAAGTTCAAAGTGATTGCTCTTCTGTCCTCCCCCAGTGAATTTCTACTAAGACCAAAGATATTTTCCATAACCTCATTTTTTACTAGTAAAGCAAAACTCCAGAAACAATGATCTCTAGAGTCACTTGGAGAGGCCTTCAAAATCTTGACATCCAGGTCACACTCCACATCAATTAAACCAGACCCTCCAGGACTGGGACCGAGGCAGTAGTATATTTTAAAGTGCCCAGGCAAGTTTAATATGCAGCCCAGAGTGAGAAATGTAGGGGAAGCATCCCATATCCCAAGCACATGGGGCAAGAACTAATATGTCCAAAATATAATGGGTTTTGCTCATTTGTAACTGCCATCTGTGAGCCTGATTTTGAAGGGCCTATAGGCAAGAAAGCTGTCACAACAGTAATGTGGGGATTAGCCTTGAAGAAGAAAGGAGAACGTGCCAGCAATGTCTCCAGTAGTTTAGTCTCTTGTTAGGGAGAAATAAAAGAAAAGAGACAGTGTGTCCTGGAATTGCCAGGTTGCATTTTCACAATCCCTTATCTGTGCTTTCTTACTTCAGCCTCATGCTTACAGATTCTGTTGTCATTGTTAGAAATAAGAATTTATTGAGTATGTTGTGCTTTGGGGCACCTGGAAGGCTCACAGTCACACATCTCTCTTTCTTTGTCTTGTTATCCTCTGAAATGCTATTAGACTTATTCCTAAATACATTTTTGGTCTTTCCAAGTTGTTAATTAACATACAAATATCTAGGCCACAATCTCCCAAAATATGTTCTGAAAAACTCTAATCTCTCAAAATCTTCCATAGAAAAATGAGGAAGACAAATAAATAGGAAGCCACAGCATACTGTGTTCTCATCTTAGAGATTCATGGCCCCTCCATATTCCAACCAGCAGGTCCAGAATGAGAGACAGGCTGGGAGCTGTTCTGGTGATGCCATCACCTCATTCTACGTTTAGAGATGGAAGGAACACAAATTATTCTATTTATTCCACCTTGGGTAGATTTAGGGGTTATATTTCCATTGTTTTTTTATTTTTTCCCAATAGATATGACTTCTAGTTATTCCCAAATAAAGTTTGTATAATTAGAAGTTAGTGGTTTTTTTACTTAAGCATTTTTTATTTATGAGCATATAACATTGTGATATTTACATATGCACTTATAGTATAGCTTAATTAGATTCACCCCCTCCATCATTCTTCCTCATTCCTCCCCCCTTAGAACAATTTCAAGGTTTCATTGCTCTATTTTTATACACGTATGCAAAGTACAAGCATCATATTCGCCTTCCTTCACCTCCTCTGTTTATCCTCCCCCTTTCCACTGATACCAACCCCTGGACAGGACCCATTTTACCTTCCTTTTTCATGTGTTGATTGTTTAAGTGGCTTTTGCCTTGGTATTTCACACATGTTTATATTGTCTTTTAATCATATTAACTCCCTCTATTACTTATTCTTTCTCTCTCGCCCTGCTCCCCAGTATTCGACAGCTTACAGTGCATCTTGTCTGTGCATATGTCTTCATAGACAGATGCATTGTGTTTGCACATTACTCCCTCTTATCATTCTCTTTCCTCTCCTGCCTCCCTGTAGTTCCCTCAGACAGACCTACTAATACAATCATGCTTCTCTCTCTTTTTCCACCCCCATATCTGTACATATATATATATATACATGCATATGATGGCATCTATGTATTTATGTATACACCCAACTCATTAAGTCTAGCTTCCATGTATGAGGGAAAGCATATGACCTTTGACCATCTGAGCCTGACTTAAAGAGTTAGGCTTTTATATATGGGGTAAAAATGACTGCTCTTACCTTCTCTGACTTTAGTGCCTCCCAGGACTATTGCAGATATGCCAACAGATGATGACAGGAGCCAAATACAGATATTAATGATCTTCGCCTTCAAGGGTGTGCGGAAGTCCAAAGCCTTCACAGGGTGGCACACTGCAATGTAGCGGTCCACGCTCATCATGGTCAAGGTGAAGATGCTGGTGAACATGTTGTAGTAGTCAATGGAAATGACCATCTTGCACAGAACATCCCCAAATGGCCAGGAATTCATCAGGTAGACGGCGCTCTGGAAGGGCATGGTGGTCGTAACTAAAGCATCTGCCAGGGCCAGGTTAAATATGTAGATGTTGGTGGCTGTCTTCATCTTTGTGTATCTGAAAGATAAGAAACAACACTGTTTCTCTCTATTTTACAAGTTAAATTCATGAGATAAATATGTTTGTGACTGCCTTTGGATTATTAATTTTGCTCATTCATTCACTTCTTTACACAGACATTGAGTGTCTCGTATGTAAAAGGGCTGTCCTAGTCATTAGGGCTAATAGAAAAACAGTCACAAATCTAAGACTATTGAGTTTTTATTTTAGTGCTTTGCTCAAAAATCCTAAGTAAAACAGATAATGAATATGGCATAGGCAGATAAACAGAGAAAAAGACAAATATACACATAGATCTTTTCTGTTCTTTTTTTTTTTTTTTTTGGTAGTACTAGGGTTTGAATTCAGGGCTTCATGCTTGCTAGGCAGGCACTTTACTGCTTGAGCCCCACTCCCAGCCCTACAAACAGATCTTTTCAACAGATTTGCATACAGTAGAGGTCTTTATTTTGTCCCTGACAATTCATTTTATTCCTTCCAGAGCTGCTTGGTTTCAAGCATTTTTTGAAATACTGTTTTTCTTCTCTTTGTATAAAATAAACATAAAATATTTTCTCTTCAAGTCCTTTTGAGAAATCAATCATTGTTAGTATTCAACCTTTTGAAAATGCAAAATGGTGTTCAATTTTTTTAATGTGTCCAATTGCAACAACTAAAACACAATTAGGCTTGTCGATTTTTGTTTGCTGCCATGCCACTAGCTTGCCATTTTAAGTATATTATATAAATAAAACAGGCTGCGTTCTCCACTTGCATGTGTCACAGCAGTAGCACAGTGGATGAGAAATAATTTTGTCTCTCCCTCCTCCAATCTTGAGAGATATTTAAAGCACATACTTGTCTCATCTTTCAATGGAGGAGACAATAATTTTCAAGATAGGTAAAAAGATTCCCTTTAAGCCCAAATTATTGTTGATAACACGAAGTTTAGAGCAATGTCACTTTCACCTAAATCTGATTTAAGAGGGCTATTTTGCTTGGAGAAATGCTTCCTCAGAAATACATTGAGCATTATACATTTCATACTATCCCATCAAGTTTTCAGAGGCCTATCTATGTTAACTATTTTCCACCCATCTCAGATTTGTAGACTTTATCACAACGAATTCATCCCTCCCCCATTCAATGCATAAATTTCTACCCTGGAAACATCTTTCAGCATTCAGCAATGGAACAGCCCTGGCTCCTTTGAGGCAGGGTGGTGTAATTGTGCAGTCAGACAGTCTTGAGTCTGAACTAAGTTATGTGACTTCCTGAGTCTCGGTTTCTGCTAGTAATGAGAATAAGTCCTCAGCTGCCAGTCCATGACACAGGGGCAGGACACGGGCTGGCTGAACATATTTGAAACATAGGATCACATTTCACCCTTGGTATCCACTGCCCTTCCTCCCCATCCAGTCTCTCCTCTCCCTTTTTGTTGGGAGGTGCACGTGTTCATGGTTGGATGGGGAGGCATTACAAAGCCTGGTGCCAGAGCCAAGATCTGTTTGTTTCTATTTTGATGTTCTGTTACCAAAGGAATAGTTTAATCTGTAGAGTGAGGAGTTTATTTAAAACTATGTTTTGCCTTTGTGCTTTTTTACTCAAGTGTTGTTAGATGACCTGTAAATTTTAGAAAGTGATGAAAACTCTGTGGACCAAGACTCATAACATAGGCTTTCTAAGAGCACAGATAATTTAAGCAAGTACTGAGAAGAAGCCAAATGTTTCCAATGAGAAAAACTGAAATGCAATCTATTCAGATATTATCTTTTTTAAAAATGTGATTTTGCTTGCAAGAAATACATTTTTATAAATCTGCCTTCTACTCTTTCAACTTTCTCCTCCATCTTCCAACAAAATCCTTAGTACTAGAAAAAATATTGGCAAGCAATATCTTTGATGCCTGCTATTCTGCTCTTTCTTTATGAAGTTAGACTGGAGTTCTTTGCTTTATACCTGGGTTCCAGTCTTTATTTTTTCCTCTATCTAACAGGTAGACTTTAGAGGTATGTGTTAGTCAGCTTTCCATCATTATAACAGATACTTGAGATAATAGCTTATAAAGAGAAAAGGTTTATTTGGGCTCACTGTTCTAGAGGTTCTACTCCATAATTTATTAGCCTTATTGCCAGACATCATATCATGACAGGAGCACATGGTGGAGAAGACCTACTCACCTCTTCACCAGGGAACAAAGAGTATGAGGAGGGGGCTAGGGTTCCAAAATCCTCTTCAAAGGTACACCTAAAATAACCTAAAGGCGCATAGGTCTTTTGGGAACATTCAAAGTCCAGACTATAACAAGGGATCATTAACTATCCTGAGTTTCATTTTCCTTAGCTATAAAATGGAAAATATGATGTTTATCTTATAGCTTTCCAGAGATAATTAATGAAATGCATGTGACCCAGAGAACATGTTTAATTTATTTCATTTACCCAACTCCTCCTCCCCCTCTTATATGGTAAAATCTACCAGATGGCACATGAAACAGAAGGGAATGAGTTTCCAGGTAACACCGATGGACATATTTACTCAATTTGGCTTGAATATGAAAGATGGGAATGAAAATGAAACTTAGGATCTGACATACTGAAAGAACATAAATGGAATGATACATAAATTACACAAAATATAACATGCATCTTTAAGTAGTCATAAAACATTGAGTGATATCATGCCTTTCGCTTTTCAAAATACTTATAACCAATAGATGTATGAAACTGCATAAGACTCAAACAGATAAAAAAATCAAATTTTGTCATCAGATCTCAGAATGAGAGATAGGAGTATGAACAGTAATCATAATAATCAGTTATTTCAAAAATTTCCCTGTGTCAGGCACTCTGTACATGCCACAGACTTTGCCTCATTTAGTCCTCACAGTTAACTCCACTGGTAGGTATTAGTGTCCCTAATCCATAGATGAGGCAACTAAGAATCACAGGATTTTCTTAAAAATACTCAAAGCTATATAGTTATAAAAGGCTTAGCAGAAATTCAGACCCAGGAGTTTGATCCCAATTCCTGTATTCGCACATATATTTTGTCTGCACTTTATAATTTACAAAATCCACTACTTTAAATTACATGTATCTTATTTGATTCTCACAACAGCCCTTCTAGCTGATCCTTGAGATTTGTGTCTTTTCCCTCCAATAGCTGAAGAAAATCAGGCTCAGGTAAGGTAGGTGCTCTATGTCTACAGGTAGAGGTAAGAACGTGTGAGGGGTGTTGTGGCAGAGCCCCAACCACGGTTCTAAAGATACGTGTTCACAAACCTGCAATACTAAAACAGCCCTCACAGGTATAATCAAAGTAATGAATAAACTGGGAACTTAATAAATATTTGCTGACGTGCTTTTATGTGCTATCCTGGACATAACATGTGAATCTAAAACAAGACCCTTTCCCTCAGAGGTAGTCTGGTTGAACCTTCCAGGTATTGTTTGTATTTAACTAATGATGAAAAACCAAATAAGCTTTCTTGCTATGATCAGAGATGGAATTCTTGCCCATTTCATCCACACTGCTTTATAAAAATTCGCAATCATTCCAAGTAAAATGGCACCATCTGGGTGGAAGTTTTGGCTTGGATGAGAAAGCTGGAGGTGGGCTGGCAGCAAGTGGTTGCACTTTTTAGCACACACACTGCGGGAGCATATGGCACCAAAAGAGCAAAGTCTGGGGGCTGTCCTCTCTAAACTCGACAATGATACAATCCTGGAATCAACAGAACAGTGCCCTGGACAGGATGCATAAGGCAGGCCAGGAAGAAGGGTCAACAAGGGAACTTGGAGTGCGAGCCTGAGGGAGGGTATTTCAGAGTTAGAAATGCTCCCCCAGGACACATTATCTCAAGACCATCCTAGTGAGCTTCTATTTACAGAGAAAGGAGGGGTGGCTTCCAAATCTGCAACCATAGGCAATTGTGTCAGAGTGTGTGGGGGGGAACAGGGAAGAGGCAAGGTTATCTGCTAAGATATCAGGAAAAATGTCACCAGGAATTTTCTGGTAGAATGTGACTGTGGGTGCTAGAAATGAAGCACCCACAGGAGCAACACTATTGGATGAGAACAGGGATGTAAGTCCTCTCTGTGCAGAGGACCTTGGATTCCAGAAGGACAAAATCATGTGAGGTATTTGACAGTGGTTTATTATGTCATAGACACTGTTTTAGGAACTTCCTATTATCTGATGTGATGCAGTGGTCTTGGTGTGTCTTGTCCTCTCCATGTGCCTGCTGTGCTCAGACAATACACAGGTGGAAGAGATAATTATTGGAATATTGGCATCCTTTGCTCCTTTGCTATGGAGGTACATTGCCCAAGGTTGCTCCCTGTTTTTTTAATTTCAATTATGCTTCCTTAATCAGGAACTTCATTTCCCCTCATGACAAGAATACAATAAACCTTTAATGGTGATGACTGAGCACCAACACACTTTCAGTTTTATTGATTTCTGTCATTGTTAGCCTTTGTTTCCATTGTACCCCATGTTGACCTACACATCCTCTACTCTCTCTCTGGTATGCTTCTGTTTCCTCTGCTGTTTTTATCACTTTATGTTTTCAACGTGTTTCAAGCACCTATGCCACAGACAGCAATATGTTAGAATTTGAGGATGATTGGAAAATAAATTCAATACATAAACCCTAGCTTCTAGGATCTTTCAAATGAACTGAGTCTAAATTATCATGTGAACAAAAGTAACACAGAGAAGGGAAAGATCAGAGAAATCAGGGCATATTTTGAGGAAGTTAGTTTGTTGGGAAAGAATGAATTGGATAGATAAGAGAGGTCTGATGGCTAGCGTCTCATGCAATAGGTAGTAAGGAAAATAACTTTCTGTTTCAAGAATCCTGTTGGAAGTAATAGGAGGCTGGTTTTGCCATCGAAACAGTCATGCTCAGACACAGAGGACCTTGTTCTTCAGAAGGACGAAATCATCTGAAGCATGTATTGCTGACTTATTATACGACAGACACTGCTTTAGGAGCTTCATATTATCTGAAA